CTCCTGGGATGTTCTCTGACTTTGGCTTACCTTGTTGTCCGTTGGTATGGTTGCCTCAGGTGGTGATGTATCTTCTGGCGGTTCTTCTTGTGGCGGTATTTCATCTGGTGTAACTTCTGCCGGCGGCGGTTGCTGGGCTGAATCAGGAGCCGGTGCATATATCCATCAGGTGCAGGTCCAGGTTCTGGAGGGTTGATATGGAGATTCTTCTGGCTCAGCAGGAGAACAAATGGTGGCAGTCTTCCTTGTCTTCTTGATAGCCTTGGCAATCTTTTCTTGATCCGCCCATCCGATAACTGTTATTTTCTGCTGAGGGAAGTCGATATATAGATCATATATACCTATTTGAAGGTAAAGTTTGTATCATATAGTTAGTTAAGTCATGGCTAGATTACAGAATGATTTAGAAAGATAAATGATGTTACATATGCTTACCATTAATGCCACTGAGTGCTTTCTTTATCTTCTGCACACAGCCATTACAGTCCATTCGGAGCTGTATCTCCGTGATTTGAGGCCTCTGCATTTGATGATGAACAAGGAGAGTTAGATAAGAATTGTTGTGAAGCTGTGGAATTGCAGGAAATAAGAAATATGTCTATGGCTGAAGAATCAGTGCGTAGCATCTATTTGTACATGGTAAGGGAATGTGTTAAAGGCCAAAAAAAGAAGTGGGGACTAAAAAAGAATCTCTTTTTTGAAGAGAGAGAGAACTGGTATTGCTTGATTGGTCCCTGGAATTCATTTTCTCAAGCTTGGATTGATGAGTTTCTATAATTCTGAGAATTTTGCTTTAAAGAAGGATGACCGTTTTATGATGGTGGGATATTTAAGAGTTAGGGTATGATCCAAAACCGACCACAGTGAAGTCAAAAGGATCAAAGTAGCTTTTTTGGTTGAAGGATATCTCTCTGTTTTTTTTTTTTTTGACCTTGAGTTGAAGGATATCCACTCTCCAGGAATCATTAATGATGTTTATATCAAAAGGGGATGAAACTCTTGTTTGTTATTTGGTTCATTTGTATATATGCTTGTCTAGGGGACCCAACTGAGAGATTCTCCAATTCACATTTTATTTAATATTTTGAGACTAGTTTTCTTCCAATCATTATTTTTATTGAATAAGAAGCATCATTCTTTAAAATCTTATTTATAATTAGTCATATTATTCACAAATTATTAAATAGTACAATTCATTCTTTAAATTCCATATAATATTTTTAGGAAATATGTCACATGGTGATTATATTTCAGTGCCAATTTATAAAGCTTAGACTAATTAATGACAAATTGTCTTTTTGCTTGTCGGATTTAGACAATGCCTCTACCCTAAATGGAGAATCGTGAGGTTTAGGCAGAATCATACATTGAATGAAAAACTTAGGTGGATTGGGCCAAATATATATTTGGGCATTTGAGGACCAAAATGACTTGGCATCCAATCACACTAATTATATAATTAACCATCCATTACCCAAAAAAAAAAAAAACCCCTCCAATGGTAAATTATCACAATGATGGCCTCACACGCTAGGCTCAAAAGGAGTAATATTTTTTCTAATTAAATATGGGATATCTTTAAAATACTACCTTCGATCCTAATTATAAGATCTTATCTTATTTGTAGAATAAGATCTTATAATTAGGATTGGAGGTAGCATCTGGGAAAAAAAAATTCTTGGACTAATCATGGATTGTTAGCTTAGACTTCCCATGAAGCATTTTTTTGAAAATTCGATATCGGCCCACATGCTGACCGAATCAGACTAGCGTGATTTGAACTGCGAACAAATACAAGTTTGGCCCATAATATTACTTTCAATGTTTTAAGTAAATAAAGAATATACATTTATTACCAACGGGGGTTGGTCTAAATAGTAAGCAACTTGGTATCGCTTAAGCGAGTCTCGAGTTCGAGCTTCAGTGTATACAGAAATCCCTGTTGTGAGACTCACCCATCACAGCTAGGTGCGCGATGTGAGTCGGATTCAGATGTAATCGAAGCAAAACTCCGGTGAACTGGGTAGGCAACAAAAAAAAAAAGAATATACGTTTATTAAACAAGTCACACCATTCAACCCATCATTAAATTCGTGGTTTGGAATCTCAAGGGAGATTTATATTCTTGAGGGGATACTTGTTGTGTCTCATAAAATTAATTTAGTAATTTACCTACTTTTGTTTCACTAAACTTTCTTGGAAGTATACTTATTGGACCAAAAAGCTTATAGCCAACTGTTTGTTTCAATTTTTTAGTTCCCAGAAAATAACACTATTTCTTAGAATAAATATAATATTTTTAAACAAATATATTATCTGCTAAAAACACTAGGGACAAAAATATCATTCTCATCGAATTTTATTTCTTAGTTTTTAAAGTTATGTTTGAAAATATATACTAAATAATAAAAAAAAGTGCAACTTACCTAAGTTTTGTTTAATAAGTTATTTTGTTTACTATCGAGAAAGTTCGAAGCCTAACTTCACGAGATTTGAAGACTTTAGTAAATTAATTTGTCAAGCGGCCCTCTACAATATCCCATCCAGTCTTATACACAAAATACAAAAAAATCGAATTACATAAATGAAAAGGTTACAATAAATGTGTGAAAATATTTTATTTTCCAAAAATCCTCTTATTTATGCAAACAGATTGAGTGAATAATAATGAATTAATACAATGATATAACATGTAATTAATAATGATAACTATTACAAAATTAATCAAAATTATATATATATATATATATCCTTTAAGTATATCTTATAAATAGATCCAGTTGATTATCAAAAAAAATTATATACTTCTTCGATCCTTAATGTAAGATCTAATTAACTAATTTGATTAGATTAAGAATGTTAGTTAAATTAGTTAATATGATATATTTTTTTTAAAACACTTTAAACATCTTTTTTAATTTTCTTCCTCTCTCTCCTACTTGATTATTGTTGGGAAGTATTAATAGAGTTAATTTGAAAAAAAAGATAAATAGATAAGATAAGTTTTTCATATAAGATCAATATTAACTTTCTAATCAGGTCTTGTATTAAATAAATATAATGGAAGGGAGTATTTTAAGAACTTGATGATCACTTTCAATGTGTTTATAGCAATACGTCAAATTTGGTCCCCCCAATTAAATATGCGGTTACGGGGCGCTTGACTGACGTGAGTTCTTGTCGTTTCTTCAAAGTATTAGAATAAGGTGTCCAAAATTCAAAAGAGTGGGTTGGAATTTCTTCATCACATTAAATAGTCCGTTGAAATTCTTGTTTGAAACTATCAACCATATCTACTGTTCGGTTCTAAATATAAAATATAATTTATAATGTAATTTAAAATAGATCTTATATATATATATATATATATATATATATATATATATAGAATCGGAGGTAGTGTTATATTATCATGACTTCATAAAAGCAAATATAATGAAGCTGAAATGGGGTGACTTCTATTACACTAAATATCATGCAGCAATTTCATATTATTAGTTTGTTTAATTTGTTAAGAATGTGATCCCAAGTAATATAAAGAGTGTAGGAAAAGTTATGAGGTTGAAGCTTTATAAATGGCCGAAATATCGGTTTTGAAGATAGGGTCATGTATTTGTGTGAATATGATAAAATACGTATCTTATGAGTAAGCTTGACTTCACCTACAAGCTCTGTTTGCTTTCCACCTGACAAAGCTGTCTTGTATATTAATTTTCATGCCGGCCTTGCTCTCAGTTGCCAATTATTTATTGCATAATTCACATTAGTTATTAATTATTGCGAAAAAAATTTTTTCCGGTGACAAATTGACAATTACATCAAGTATCCGATGCTTACTAATGATTCGGATTCAAGCCATTTCAAGGCCCAAATGGAGGAGTCTTCTAACGTTAACAAAATTACTTTTTCAGTCCTTAATATAAGATCTAATTCTTGAGTTGGTTTTGATCCTACATATAAGACTCATTTCTCATATTTATTAATTTTCTCTAAATTACCCCTATAGATATTCCCTCAACCATAATCAAGTAGAAGAGGGAGAGAAGTATTAAGAAAGATAATTATAGTATTTTAGGAAAAATGTGTCACATTTCTTATAATTAACTAACTTACCTAACTTCCTTGATCTAATCAAATTAGTTAAATGGGTCTTATATTAAGGACCGGAGGAGTACATTTTATCTTCACATAGTAAATTAAATATCTTAAAGTCTTCTAATATCGTTTTAGTTTTGAGCAAAATGCAAATTTATAATTTAATTTGTAGTTATGCACTAATTCACATTAATGCATTTCAATTTCCCCCGGGGGGGTTAATCAATGAACTTAATTATATGGGGTGCGTATGGCGACACCTAAAATTTGTGTTAATTATTAGGTGCAGACCCACTTGCACAAGTGGTTGGTAACTGCAGATACAAGATTAACTTTAAAAGGAGTACTGAATTAAGTAATTGACCCACCGCGAGTTGTTTATATCTAGGTGGGTTAACTAATTAAACCATTTACATGACTTTTCTAAATGTCACTTTTTGAGTTGGTAATCCCATTGATTCCGGTAATATTCCCTTGTACATTTTTTTGGGGGATAAAAGTGCAGTACAAACAAACATTATTGAACATAACTGTAGCGAACAATATTACTCTAGCTAGCATACAGTATCATGTTCTCAACTATATAAATATTTATATTTCACATTCTTTGCTCTAAATATTCAAAATATTGTCATTTCCATGAGTTTATTTTCAAAGTTAACACATTTATACATCTACATATAATTGGTCAAAGAATGCATAAATCCTCTCTCATTACATAAAAATATATATATACTTTTCCGGTCCTAAATATAAGACTCTTTTTATAGTGTAAATTTACACTACAAGAAAAGTCTTATATTTAGAACCGAAAAATATATGTATTAATTCCTGGTGAAACTTCGTTCGTCTTTTCCTCAAACAAAATGAGCAAGTAATAGTGTAAGTGAATCGGCTAAACACGATTGAGAAACATCCAATCCTGAAATATATATTCCTCAAATATATATATATATATATATATATATATATAGATTTTAGATGCAACCTTATTATCAATACCAAACACGGAGACAAACTCAAGCTTTTCATCAAATTACAAAGGCCATGTCACATAGCCTTGATCGCAGAACACAAACCAACCGACGCAAAGCAGCACCACACAAAACCTTAATTAAGAGCCAGATCAAAGGCATAATTAAGTGATTAACTTAATTTAACTGTATTCAGGGTGAGCCAGGAGGTAAGCTTCGATGGCCTTGAAGAGAGCATCGCCCTTGGCTTTGCCGGTCTTGAGTTCCTCTTCGCTCGGCTGAGCATCGCCTTTGGTGAAGTACTTCACACTGATCTTTGCGACGGCTCCTCCATTCGGACCCTCCACCAGCTTCGTCTCCACCGAGATCTTCTCCACCGTCTCCGGCAAATCGCTCGCTTCCACTATACTGTAATTGTATACAAAGCTAGCTTCGTCCACTGCTTCTACTTTGTGCAACACATGATGGGTCTTCCCTCCTGCACATATATATCCATCCATCATCAACTTCACTTCAACCTCTTTCGATTCGATCTAAGATTTTTGTTTCTTCTGATGTCATCGACTGATTTAAATTTGAATATTATTAGGTCTCACAGAGGGAGCTCCGGCCGGCATGGTGGAATGTTTTATTCGTCAAGTTTTTGATTTTGGAAATCTTCTGAATAAGTGATCGTTAAAATCTTATTGATCCAATGAATATCGAAGACAATGATAATTAAGTCTGGATATATAGTACTGATCTAAGTTTGGTGATGACCAGAAGAAGTTGAGAGTGGAATTAATCTATAATATTACCTTCAAGGATGGTGAGCTTCTTGACGGTGCCGGGGCCTCCGGTTCCCTCGACGTTTTCGACGCTCTGGATGGGCTCGACGGCCTTAGGGATGAGCTCATCGGAATCTTTAGTGAAAGCTTTGAAAAGCTTAGGGGGAGGTAAAGTGGAGGTGTGCTCGTGCTCGTATGAGAAAACTCCCATGATTCTGATGAACTTGAAGACGAAGAAGAAGATGAAGACTATATAAATGAAAATGAAGAAGGAAGTATAGGAGAAGCGGATGGATAGGTGTGGTTTTTTGGCAGAGTGGAAACTTCTATTTATAGCCACACTTGCTCATCGGTGTGCTTCGTCAGCTCAAGTCAAGTGTAGCTAAGTAATTGGAGTGCTTTAAATATATTATCAAGTATTCCTTTGTAAGCAATAACTATCATTTCTTTTTTATTTCTAAATATAAACAATATTATAAGTTGTTTTAAAGTTTTATAATAAATTTTATATTTTATTCTCATTAATTACTTATCTAAATGTTCTATTTATTATTTTATTTCCCAAACTATCATCTCTTTTCATCACACATTCTTTCTTTTTCATAATTTTTTTATTATAATAATTTTATTATTCTCTTTCTTGTACTCTCTCTCATATTTTGGAAAAGAACTTTTAATTTCTATCCATTTATTATCTTTAATAACTTTTTTTATTAACGCAACGGAGTTCAAAGTTCCTTATAAAAATGGACAGAGGAGTAATTGGAACAATGATTAGTATTTATATATTCCTCATATTATATTTATAAAGCACTTCCAACATATTTTATTTAAAAAATAAATTTTTGATTTCATTTCTATCTAATATATATAGTTAATAAAGAAGCCTAACTAAGTAAGAACAATAAATTAGAGATAAAATTATACCTTTATATAATAAATTCAATAAGATAACTTATATGAAGAAAAATATTTTTTCTATGCCCTGTAATCAAATGGAATCAAAAGGGAGTATTAAGTAAAAGGGAATTTTACATGGAAAAAATATTTTAGGAGAATTCGATTTATAATTATGCTCAATAATACTTAAATGGAGATCTGTAGTGAGTATTAGATGGTTATTAAAAAAAAAAAAGAATTTCGGTGTCCTGCTCTCCCTGGTCTTTAAATATTTGATGGCGTTAAAGGAAGACGCGAATGGCCCTGATTTCAAAGAAAACTGATGAATTAGTCAAAGAAGGCGGGTTTGAAAAAGCAATACATCTTCTAGAGGAAGTACCTAGACTCTCTTGTATAAATAATTAATTTTATAAAATACTTTTTTTATAACTATTTTTTATTTTTGAAGCGATTTTTAGAGGAAAAAAAAATATGTGCCCAATTGCTAAAGTAAAGGCACCAAGGATTCCACTTCCAAGAGGGGAAAAAAATGTGAGCAGCATGCCTCTTTAACTTTTTTAATCCATTTTTCTATTTTTTTGTTATTAAAATATAAAAGATCAATTTTTATTCTTATTTTTTCTAGTTTTATATTTTTGTCCCTTTTCTTAATATATTCAAAATGTAAATCTTGACTTCCACCACGCCACATTTCATTTCCACATCCGTCACTTGCGTTAATTAGTCTTTGCTTTCCTTTTCTTACTTTTTATTTCCTTTCAGTAAAGTTGTTTAGGTGCTTTTGTCGGGATGCACTAATTTTATATTAATATATTAGGTATATTATTATAATTTCAAATTGTAAAGGAAAAAAAACTTAATTCACGAAAGACTTTGATAGCATTAAGCCATTCATTGTTGTTAAAATTTAATATCATCTCGTATTTCCAAAGTGCACAATATTTTATTGGTGCCAAATTCTTTTCCATTTAATATTCATAGCCACCCTCATTGTAAACTGAGCATGCATTTTATTCTGTCCTTTGCCCGACTTTGATGCAAAAAGATAAAGTGAACGTGACACGTGAAATTATGTGACATTTTTGTCTGATACTGAACCCTCGCCAATATAATTTAAATAATAATTCATATATAAGCACTATGTGTGTGTGTGAATCAGCCAATAGCACATGGGCTGGCTCGTTCCCAGTAATTTAAGCATCGAGTTTGTGTAGATTAAAAAGAATTAAATAAATTAGTTTATTATAATAAATATTGATCTTTTTAAAATATTCCTATATAATATTATATTAATTATATATCATCTATAAATTAAGTATATTAATTTAGAAGAATATGATAAATGTATAAATATAAGATAAAATGGGATGAAATATTATATTTAAAACTAAATCTAACTTTTTTAACTAGTTATTATATTAAGGGTGGGAGGGAGCATTATATTATGTCATCCGATTCCAATCCCATCTCAAGATTTCATAGCTGAAAAACATAATCAAGACAATTTTATGTACTAAATGATATTATTTTCGGTCCTAATTATAAAACCCAATTGACTAATTTGAGGAGATTAAGAAAATAAATTAAGTTAGTTATTTGTAATAAATAGGTGCTGTCTTTCTTAAACTATCCTTACTAATAAATTATATTGACTAAAACTACTATTATTAGAAGGACTATCTTAGAAAAAAATACATAAATATAAAAGATAAAGTGGATCGAGATTTTATATTTAGAACCAACATAAAAATCAAATAAGATTTTATATTAAAGACTAAAAAAGTAGCTCGTAATCTGCAGCCTTAACATATTATTCGAAATAGTTGGTTTAATTACCCTTCAAGTATAACATCATTTCATTTGACTTCAGTCTGCTTTTTATGTTTTTTCCTTTCTTCAAAAGCAAGGCTGTTGATCTTAAAAAAAAAGAAAAAGCAAGGCTGTTGATGTAAAATAATGCACATAATCAGCTAATTAATTGATTTATTCTTGTTTATGATATATACTCCTCTAGTATTTAATTAATATAAGATTTATTTAACTAATTTGATTAAATTAAGAAAGTTAAATAAGTTAATTAATTTTAAGAAATATGACATATTTTTTTAAATATCATAATCATCTTTCTTAATACTCTTATTCATCTTCTACTTGATTATAATCAGAGAATATCAATAGGAATAATTTAAAAAAATTAATAAATATAAAAAAATAAGTCTTATATTTAAAATCAAAATCAGTTTAATAATTAAGACTTAGGATGTATTTGAATAATAAAGAAAGTGTTTTTAAAAAGTTTTTTTTGCAAATTGAAACAAACATCTCCATATATTTACTTCGTATACTATAAAATTACTTTTAAAACTATAATGTGATATTCGCCTAAACATCTTTTTAATTAAAAATAGGAGGACATCGTGGTTGATGAATTTTCATACTTTAAAATCAAACTGAAAGCGAGGCACACTCTTTATCGATAATTCGATATGATAAAATTCATGGTGAGGGAAAAAAAATACGTGTGGACTTGTTCAAAACCGAAGACGATGCGATCGTAATATAAAATAGAAATTAAAGGGCAGTGGATCCCACCGTCAAGATTACCACCTAAGGCTCTGTTTGGTCAGAAGGTTGTTGAGGTGAGGGGAGGGAATGAGTGTGTTTGGTTGGAAAAAAAATAGATAGGAGAAGAGGGAAAAAATTTGTTTTTTAGTGCTCTCCTCCTCTCCCCATGTTTCTTCTAAATTTGGAGTTTTTTGAAGGAGAGAAAAATATTATGTCTAATATTGACCAAACTACCCATACCAACTTTTTAATATTCCAAGTTTATCTATCTTATTAAAAGTATTTTTTCACTTATTTCTCTTTTTAACTACTAATAATGTTTGATAATGATAATATAATATTATAATTATATAATATATACACATCATACATATTAATATATACATATCATAACATGTGTGTATTATAATTATATATCATAGCGTGTATGTATTATAATCTCATATAACATGCATATATACATACATATCATAACGTGCATGTTATAATTATATAATATATACATATCATATATATTAATACATATATTTATAAAATTAATGAGATAGAATATTAAAATTTTTATCATATTTTCTAATTTTTTTAGTTTTATCATTTTTTATCACATGTAAGTGAGGAAATTTTTTTTTAAATTGATAAATTAAGAAATAATAATTTTGATATAAATATTGTAATAAAAAATAAATCAGTCTAAATATAGAGATAAGAATATATTTATCAATTTATAATTACCTCCCATCTTCTCTTCTTATGAACCAAATAAGAAATCTCTCTTCTCTTCCCCTCCCTTCCAACCCAAACAAAACCATGATTTTTCTTCCTCTCTCCTTCCTTCCGTGGAACCAAACAAAGCCTAAATACCTACCTAAGCGGCTAAGCCCTTCTTTTTCGGCCTGAGCTAACTGCCTAAGCCTTTCTTTTTCACATGTCCACAGTCCACACCCATCCCACTCTTCAACTTGTTCCATGTGATCTTGTCCATGTGTCTGCAAGTTCTTGTTTGGATGTTTATAATGTATGACAACTCTTTTTACCAACTTTAATTTTTTAAGATGTGTTTGATTGATATTAAAATTTAAATCAAGATAAATTTTAGATATAATTTTTTTAAAAAAATTAAAATCCATCACAATTAATTGGTTTAGATTTAAGTAAGGAAAAATAACAAAAAAATACCTATTAAAAAGATAAATAGATTATGCTGATTATTTTTGTAATAATTTTGACAGGTCAAAATCATTTATTTATCATTTTAAAATTCAGCAAGTATTTATTTGTCATCTTTCCTTTAAGTAACATTTAAGTTGGCACCGAAATTTTTTTTTTAATGAGATGACAACTTATTTTTTTAATATATTATTTATTTTTTTATATTATCAGGTCAAAAGTATTAATGGACCCCAAATAAAGATAGTTATGACAGGATCTTATAAAAAAGATGGAAAGGAGTAATACATTTTTTCAAAAAAAAAAAAGGTAGTATAGGTAACAATAAAGATATTTTTCTTTTCCATATCTCCTTACAATGAAGTGGCAGGCTCTCGAGATTTTATATTAGCCCTCCATTTGGAAGTTTCCATGATATATTTTAGAGAGAATTACAATCAAGTCTCACAAAAGATAAATAATTATAAAAAAGTCCTAATAACAACCTCAACAGCCTATAATGACAAGTCCTATAGTAAGAATGACAATCTCTGTAACTTGTTTTTCAATTGTTTTCTTTACTTGTGACCTTATTATAATTCTTCCCATATTTTACTCTATATAGATGTTAGGTCGAAATTTATGAAATTCTGTATACAATGGATAAATGTAATAGTACGAATCAGGATAATGAATTTTAGTAACGACGGTTAATAAATTCATTTTATTTGTAATTTAGTTTTAAAAAAATTAGAGATCTTTATATTACGTCTAAAAATTTAATTACTGTCATTTGCTGTTAGCCTGTTATCATCTAAAAAATATATTTATAGCCAGGCTTTGTATTATCAATGTTCAAAAAAAAAAAAAAAAAGGAATGGGGGCAAACACATTGACCGACCTTCTTGGTTAAAATGTTTAACTTTATGTCACTTTCTGGGATGCAGAAATTTAGGCTTCAATTGGGTTGTTGGGGAGAAAAAGAACAGGTGAAGAATAATGAGCCAGATCACAACTTGACACGTAAAAACTTATATAAAAGCAAAGTCAAGAAAGTATAATAAAAGCCACATTTTACTAAATATCAGCTCTCCTCATAATGACAGCATCAGAAAATTCCAAAACATTGTCTGATTCCTTAAGAATTTGGAAGAAACACGCGCAAATGACAGCCCAAAAGATCAGATAATAATAAAAAAGAAAAAACCTTAATCTTAACCAACAAGCTAATTAATAACCCGTATATAAATTGACAGAGGGTCTTTTGAATCCAGTTTTCATTCAAAAAAAAAAAATTTGACAGAGGGGGACCCCCATATCGGGACTTACATCACTCGCACCACATGGGAGTACTTATTAATTAAGGTTTGGGGTTATGGGGACCTCAATTTTATTATCTAAAATACTTATTTTAATGTTTGAGAATTCACTTGTAAGAGGGATTGGCCAGGACGTAAGCCTCAACGGCCTTGAAGAGTCCGTCTCCCTTCTGCTTCCCAATCTTCAGCTCTTCTTCGCTGGGCTTGGCGTCTCCCTTCGTCACGTAGTTGACGGTCACCTTCACGACGGATCCTCCGTTAGGGGCGGCCGCCAACTTCGTCTCGACGGCGATCTTCTCCAAAGTCTCAGGGAAAGTGTCGCTCTCCACTAAGGTGTAGTTGTATACAAAGTTGTCCTTGTCTACTGCGTCCACCTTGTGCTTCGCGTAGTGCAAGTGTCCATCTGTACGTACACATAATACCACATTTCTCATTAAATATCTCAAACCCAAACATTCTTAAATAAACAGATTCAAACTAACTGTTCAGACTCCAGTGATATAGAAACAGAAAAAGAAATAGGACCTTCGAGGTAGTTGATCTTCTTGGTGGTTCCAGCGGCACCAGTTCCTTCGAGGATTTCGACGCTCTGGATGGCGTCGACAACCTTAGGGATGAGGTTGTCGCCATCAAAGACCAGAGCCTTGTAGAGTGTGGCAGGAGCAACAGCGGAAATGCTCTCTTCAGAGAAGGTGAAAACTCCCATTATGATTATGTGTGTTTAGAAGAAGAATATTGAGAAGACAATGGAAGATAATGCTTAGCTAGCAGTTATGGATATTGGTTCGTGGACATGCGGTACGCTTATATAGGCACCAACAAGCTGAGGTTTGGTGGTGCAATTGTTCATTGCTTGAGGTTGTTGGGTCACTGTGCGTGTGTGTACTTTAATTCTGTAATTGTGTTTCAACTTTGACCAGAGTGTTTGACTTAAAGTGGTCAAACATTGTGAACTGGGTGTTATGCAATCTAGAAGGCGTCTAACTTGTCTGAAGTCTTACGTCAGTCGATCAGATTTGCTTTGCTGAATGTCTACGTATTTTTGCATAAATTCCTATAGAATGCGACATTTCCGAGTTTTGCTGAACGTCGGTAATTTTTCATAATTAATATAACCGTGCATTCTCCAAATCCCTGTGGCGTGTTATTAGTGTAAAGATAAAGTAGGACTCAGTTAGAGGTCCGTAATTGAATTCAGGAAATATTTTAAGACATTGAATGCATCACACTCACCCAAATTTTAATACTCGTATATATTACCTCCCGTCCGAAATATATGTAAAATCCATTTTTTAATATTATAACTACCTCCACTTTATAGTATAATAAGTGGATCTTATATTTAAAATGGGAGGTTGTATAATATTCATTGAAACTAACAAAAACTTTCAAGTTCCACTAAACTCTAGCTAATTATAACTGTATCATGTACGCATATGCCTCCCCTTTCCATGTGTGTTTATATACACATATATAGAAGGAAATAGATAAAATAATTAGAGAGAGGAGAGAGAAACATAGCAGGTTGGTTTTGGGTCGTAATGCGGATTGCTCACGCAATATCTCAACTACTTGAGTCTTGATAAGAATGGTATAGCAGATGTATTAGATAAAGGAGAAAAGATAATCAAAAAGCTTAAAAGTTAAGGTGAAGAGAAATGAGTTGAGACACCTCTAAATGATCAAGATGACCCTTATTTCAGAAAACACAATCTTCCTCATTTATTACGGGATAATATTTCGATTCTTCGATCAACAATCACTGTCTAATTGATTTTTTTTTCAATTAATCAAGACTTTAATGCTTGATCAAATATTTCCTAATCAATCAATTATTACCTCTTTGTAATTGGTTTTCTTTATAAGAGAGACTCTCTTTTCTTAGATCAGGTAGTCCAGCGCGCATGAAGGACAGACTTGAGCCAATGTCCAACACACATATAGAGAGAGAGAGAGAGACTTTAATGCAACAGATTTAATAGTGTGATAATGAAACGGAAGATAAAAAGTGCACAATTTGTCCTCTAATTTTATGTCAAATTTTAATTTAGTTCCTTAATTTTAAAAGTAATATGTTAATGTCTTTGAATATTTTGTTAATATTTAAAATTGTAACATCGACATTTTTTCAGTGAAACTAATAATATTAAAGTATTAAAAAGGCACTTTAATTATAAAATTAAAGGACCAAAATAAAACTTTATATAAAGTTAAAGAATTTTTTGCTTAAATAAAATTTGTGACTAAAGTGGACACCAGATAATCGAATGAATTGTGGACATTATTTGAACACTTCAACAACTTCTACTTTACAAAAGGTAGCATTTAAAAATTGTAAATGCAACATTTAGATTTGATTTAAATTGAAATTGTAGTGCAGTAATGTTTAAGTCATTAGGTATTTAGATCTATTTTTGTTGTTATGTAGTAGAAGCGTACATATGGACTTAATTGGATCTCCCAAGATACACCAGAACCTATATACATATATATGTGTGTATGCGCGCATGAAATCAGCCAAACCCAGAAAACAAAAAATCTTTCTCAAAATTAAAAACATCTATATATTTCACAAGAAAAAGGACGACAGAGGACATATATCAATTTCCAAGCCATTACAAAAGACACAAAACACAAGGAGTAATCAGACGAAACCTAATGAATAATAATATCATTGAAGATAATTAATAAACTCATAAACTTCCTTAAATGGAAGCTCTTATTAGTGACGAAGGCTTTGATATATAGGGATAACCATATTGCTCTTATTTAATGCTACATATAATTCAGTTGTAGGAGGGATTGGCCAAGACGTAAGCCTCAACGGCCTTGAAGAGTCCATCTCCCTTCTGCTTCCCAATCTTCAGCTCCTCTTCGCTGGGCTTGGCGTCTCCTTTCGTCACGTAGTTGACGGTCACCTTCACGACGGATCCGCCGTTAGGGGCGGCCGCCAACTTGGTCTCGACGGCGATCTTCTCCAAAGTCTCAGGGAATATGTCGCTCTCCACCAAGGCGTAGTTGTATACAAAGTTGTCCTTGTCTACTGCCTCCACCTTGTGCTTCGCGTAGTGCAATTTTCCATCTGTGCGTGCATATAATACCACATTTCTCGTTAAAATAATCCCTGAAACCCAAACATTCTTAAACAGATTCAAGCTATTATTCAGTGACATAGAAACAGAAAAAGAAATGGGACCTTCGAGGTAGTTGATCCTTCTGATGGTTCCAGCGGCACCAGTTCCTTGGAGGATCTCAATGCTCTGGACGGCATCAACGACCTTAGGGACGAGGTTGTCGCCATCAAAGACCAGAGCCTTGTAGAGTGTGGCAGGGGCAACAGCAGAGATATTCTCTTCGGAGAAAGTGAAAACGCCCATTATTATGAATATCTTTGAATGTTGAGAAAATGAGATCAGATGACAATGGAGGATCGGAGGTGTGGCAACTATATATTGGTTTTGCTTAGCTAGTAGAGTGATATGGTTCATGAGACAAGACACGGCGCATATTTATAGGGACTTGAGCTAGCTAACCGGTGGCTCGGTGATGAGGTTTTGTTCATTAATTGGGGTTGCTGGGTTTCATTTCGTGGATGCACTTTCAATTGTTTTCTGATCTTGTTAACGAGGAGGGAGATTTAATTAATTTGTCAGAAATGGCGGAATTTTATGGCGTAGTAATCTAGAAGGTATTGGTCTCGCAATTCACAACCAAATTCTTCACCCTTTAAATTCGTATGGAATCATTTATTCAGCCATCAACAACTATGGCTGTTCAGACCTTACTAATAAATGCGACAGCATTATTAATGCCCACGGAATATGATTCCGCCTTCTGCAAACTCTTACTTTTTTCTTGTTTTTTTTTTTTTGGGATTACTTCTGCAAAATCTTCTAACATGTTTTATTCACAATTTCTCTTTTGTTTTTTTTTTTTTTGCCAGGGTTTTATTCACAATTTCACATAGACAGACTTCCTCGTTGCTCCGTTTTTTCTTTCATAACAGGATCAAATTATGTTGTTTTAAGTGTTGTTTAAAATTAATTGGAGATAATACTCTCATTTATATGGAACCTTTTCATAAGAATGTGTGCAAATTAAATACAACAATATGAATAATATAAGTAATTAAATAAGCGTAAGATGAAAAATCAACGAATAAAATTTGCAATGATTTCTAAATATTTTTTATAAAAAAATGTCATACTCCATAATCGTATTTTATTTTTAAAAAAAGGGACAGAATATAATATAGGAAGTGGTTTCAATACTCATCACTATTATGAGTATTATAATGCTCATCAACTAGCTCCATACACACACATTATAGGAGTTTTACATTGTTTAATTTATAGCTAGCCCTATTCGAAATGAATTCGAAGCAATAATGCCCAATTGGGTTTTCAAGTAAAGTGGTAGTCAGGGATGGCGGATTTGGGTTTTGTGAGAGTTATGTAATATCTTGTTCATTGAGCTCAAAGTAATCCTTTTCCCCTTAGCCTGGTGAGAGAAAACAGACATATTCCACATGCAATCATCTTTGCCGTTTCGGAAGTTTTCTTCTCAGAACCAGTTTTCATCATGGTGCTATCATTATGATGAGCACCAAAACTGGTTCCTTAGATTTAATATTTGAATGGTTCAAATTTGATTTTATATAAATATTTTTTTATTTTTTTATTATAGTATTATATTATTCATATCAAAATTTAGCCATTTAAATTTAATTAATTATTTTTTAAACTTATAATTTAATATTTTGATGATGCTTTTATAAAAGACTAAATCCTAAACATTCAAATACTACCTCTAATTCTTAATATAAGACCCAATTGACTAATTTAAAGAGATTAAAAAAATTATTTAAGTTAATTATTTATAATAAATGTGTTATCTTTTCTAGAATACCTTGTTAATCATGTGTATTAGTTAAAATTACTGTTTGATGAAACTTTTTAACATGTACAACTACTATAAGAATTACTTTTGAAAAATAAATAAATATAAAAGACAAAGTAGATTAAGACCTTATATTTAAGATCAAATTAAAAGTCAAACTAGTTCTTATATTAAAAACCGAAAGTAGTATTGATCCTATGGCTATAAAAAGAGGAGGATGGGAAGGGTAGGAGAGGTTCCCAACGGCACTGAAAGTGTACCCCAAAACACATATAAAAGACGCAAATTGAGTCATGCGTATTGCATATTTATTTATTTATTTTTATACTAAAGAGGGCAGAACCGAAACAACTAGACATTAATCAACAAGGGGATTGAATTCCATACACTCAATAGCAACTAAGACACGCAATTTGGGAGGGCAAGAATCTAAAGGACAGGTTTTAGATAAACCTTCTTTAGCTAGAAAGTCAGCAACCGATTCTTCTCTCTATGTGTGAATCTAATTTCCAGGTTCCAAGAGAGAGTGATAAGTTTCTGGATTTGTACCATCGAAAGGCGTCTATTTAGACCCAAATATATGATTTAATACTTCTAGCGAAGTCATAGTGAGGAAGGGTCTTAATGGGCTCAAAGTAGGGTTGCCTGGCCGAAATCATCATCCAAAAATGAATCCGAAGTTTTGTGTTTATTTTATAATTTTGGTTTTTTTGGCAAGGTTAAGTGTCAAAGTCATTAATTAATGTTTTAGTGTAATCATTAATGGCATGTTAGGATTTTATTGTTATTATTATTACTACTACTACTATTATTACTTAAAAG